TTAAGTCTGACCCTACTAGAGAAATAACACACAATGCCCCTCTCCCTCCCATCCCTCGACCTTTAACCACCAAAATTTAATAGTATCAATCCCCTCTAATACACAAACTTCCCTGCAAAATTTCGGCCCTTAAGATCGCCCTATGAGCATTAAGAGAGCCATTTTTAGGAAGCCTATTATGAATTTGGCCAGGCCGACAATGTGTTCGGAGGTACAAACCTACACAAAATTTCGAATCCGAAAATGAACGAATCCGATAGGGTCTGGACTCTGGAAGGTTTTTCGACCCTACAGGATTCGTTCCTACGGTATTAATTTAAATTTAAAATTAAAATACCCTATATTCTTCTCAAAATATACAATAAGCTCTTATGTTTTAGAAATATTTCGTAAATTTATATTAAATAAATAAACGTGAAAAGTAAAGTAGGATATCGATTTTTGTATGATGTCGTCTGTATAGTTAAAAATATAAAACGTGTCCTATTTAATGGAAAACTTCGCTGCCAAATAGTTCTTTCCAGTCTCTTTGTTTTTTTTTCCTCTTTTATATTTATAGCTTTATCGCCATTTATTTTTTTAGTGTGTTAACAAATGTCCTTCATCTCGAGGAAGGAAAAATATGGCGTCAATATCTTGGTTATGTTGACGTCAATATTATAAAAAACAAAACCAAATTTATGTAAAGAGTAATTGAAGTGTGCAGAAAATTAATTCTAAATCACAGGATGGCACGTGAATGAAAGTACCAATCGACCCCCCCCCTATAACACTGTTGGTTTTTCCGTTTTATATGAATTCCATGTTGTGCGAGTCACTTAGATTTTACAAATACGTGTGCCGTGCTGTGAACGGCTCACGTATTTGTAAAATCTAAGTGACTCGTACAACATGGAATTCATATAAAACGGAAAAACCAACAGTGTTATAGGGGGGTCGACTTGTATGTGGAGTTAAAGGCAACGTGACGCATGGGCAATCTGCTACAAACGTGAAGAAAGTTCGGAAAATTCCGACGTGACCGGAAATCAGGAGCAATTCCAGGGTGACTATCATTGTTTACATTAGTTTTCAGTGGTTTTTATCCACTCAGGCACTCGACCTTGTAGAATTGATTACGTGAAGAAAGAACAAGACAACAAAAAAACATTATTCAGAGGAAAGTTGGCACCAGAAAGGAGAGTAAACAGAAAGTTATTGTGGCTGTGTTCCTACGGGATGGTTACTGCAATCACTAACTTTTATTTTGTAATCGAAGCGTAATGCAATCAACAAAATAATAGATTACACGTATAAATATTATATATTAATAAACGGTTGCATCCTAACAAAATCTGACTTTAGCATAGATTTGAAGCATTTCCAAAAAAAAATAAAAAAATAATTACTTTTTTTATCTTTGAGTTTTATCTGAGTCCTTCATTTTTATTACATTTTTACATGGAAGTGATCTAAAACTTGTACTGACGTATTTTTTCTATTTTATAATAAATAATATAAAAAAAAAAAATTTAAAGTCCCATAACAGAAGATGCCGTACACAATTTTAACTTTTTTTTTTTTGCCGGAAAAGTTACGCAACTCATTGCTAGATTTGTTTTTTCTTTTATAATTAGAAAATTTCAAAGCGGTTAAATATTTGAAATTTTATTTATTTTAATGCTTCCAACTGCTCGCCCTTTTTATTACAATTTATAATGTTAATAAATTTTAAAAGATTTTAAAAAGGAACGACCGTATTAATGCAATAAAAGTTCTTGAAGTGTATTGTTTTATACGTTTACAATCCTTTAAAATTTTGGTATTTTCATTGCCAGACAGACTCACTCATCGGAAAATATTTTATGATTTGAATTTATAAATATTCTTATTATTTGCATAAATATAGCTGGATTTCTTTTAATCAATTAACAATAAATATAAAATGTTTCTCCATAACTAAGGTTATATTTAAATTAGTTAATTTAAATAAGCTCTTATATGTAAGAAAATTATTTTGCTATCAGGCGATTGACATTGAATAATTAAACTTAATGAAAAAAATAATTACTATTGCGCTGACCTATATATTCGAATATCAGTGGCGGAATAAATGAATAAATCGATCGTGTGTAGATTTATAACTTAATCCAATCGCTTAGAATTTACTGGTATGTTTTTACGATAGTTGTGTATAGTTGACAGGAATTTAAAAAAAATCCATTAAAATATTTGATACACAGTCGACCCCCCTATAACACTGTTGATAATTTCGTTTTATATGAATTCCATGTTGTACGAGTCACTTAGGTTTTACAAATACGTGTGCCGTTCACAGCCCGGCACACATATTTGTAAAATCTAAGTGACTCGTACAACATGGAATTCATATAAAATGGAATAATCAACAGTGTTATAGGGGGTCGACTGTATTTATTCCGCTCTCCGATTTTATATTACTCACGGATTTCAATGTTAAACCAGTGATATTACGATTTCGTATGTCCCATCTTTAAGGGGATGTAGAAAAAAACGTGTACAATTCTTGTATAATGTTAAAAAATTAACTGTTATTTTGATAGCATCATTTACAACTAAATTTAATGAATGAGAGGGATGCGCGAGGTATAGAAAAAGCTCTAGAATTTATTTTCCTTAAATTTACGATTTATGTATCCGTTGTCGTAAAAATTTGTCTTTCCACTTTTTTTCCCGACAGTACAAATATTCGAGTACAAAGTAACCGGTTTCGACTTATTTCTACTTAAGAAGTACAGTAGTTAATTAAGCGATTAGGGGATTGGGGACATAAAACCCTGACGAAAGAGCCGAAATTTTACTTAATTAAACAAAAGCTTAACCGAACCATCTCTAGCTGATTTCTTCCTATTATTAATGTAATAAAGACAGAAATTTTTCCAGTTCAATGAGAGTGACCTTTTCGAAAAGTTGTAAATTTTGGAAATTTCCGTGGACAACACCTGGTCCTGAAACGAATTAGTTAGAAAACAAATGACTATTAAGTTTAACATATTTAGATTTTTACAGCTATGGTGAGAAATGTTTAATATCTACAACAGCCCTGTCGCATCCTTTGAGGTATACTAGTGATGGGACAAAAGAGGCATTTGACATTGACCGGTATCGGTACCCTCGGGATTTGGCAGCCCACGTGTATGCACGCACTGAACACCTACCAGCACAGTCTCTGATTCCATCCATTAGCCACTGGTAGGGAGCTATTTGACTAAGTGCATTGTTTTAAGATTTAAAAAGTAAAGAGTATGTTATGTTATTTTTATGTACGTTTCTTTACAAAGCTATATTTAATTATAATTTTCTTTAAAAGTATATTCATACTTTTAAAGAAAATTATTGAAGAATATTTTGTACTAGGTATGTATATATCCACCACACATTTTATTATTTCACCGAGTAAGTTTTTATTACTGTATTTTATTTTTAACTGTAGCCCTTATATTGTTGCTAGCGATTCGGAATGTAACTGTCATATTAAAAATTCATTTAGAGAAGTCTACAGTTTTTACTGGCTTATTGAACAAACGAATACGAATGGACCCTAGATCATCACTGACGTGCGATTAACTGATTGCCCTTGGAAGTTGGCTTCTTAGAGAGAAACAGCTTCCCTATTGTCAAATGTCACGGCATGCCACTGCATTTTAAGTATTTTTTTTAAAGCTCTTTCCTTTTAGTTCTTTTGCCACTTTTGCAGATCTTCTAATGAGACTCCTTGGCATCTCATTTGTGAGTATGCAGATCTTTGTTGAGGTCAATTTCTTCATCTGGGTCCCACTCTAAGCCCCAGTGACATCTCTCGGCTTTCTTTTAAAAAAGACAGTAGACATTTGAAGGATTTTTAATGATATTAAACTTCTGAGGCAATTTCTTGTGAGATGCACAATGTACCTATGAGGGAGGTAGAGGTACATTTAGCAAACTGGCCCTCATTTGCACATAACAATAATTAGTGCTATAAAATTACAAGAGTTTATTTGTAATGATTCATCTGCAATAAGAAAATATTTCAGTGTTATTATTAATTAATAAAAAATTTCAAGTATCATAACAAATTTAGTTATGTAGACAATCTGGTGTCTGAGATTTGTATGTAATGCGGTTATTGGATCAGATATTCTGTATTCACAATCCACAAAACCTTTTTATAACAATGTTGGTAACAATCTTCACTAATGTTTTCGACCTCCACTGTGGTCTTTTTCAGGTAGTGACTAAACGGTGTCTCCTCTCGACTGCTGGAACGATGACGCCCGAGATGTAAATAATGCACTTATCGCGTTTCACCTCTCCACTTGTCCCAGTTCAAATTCTTCGAAAATGTTAGTGAAGATTGTTATAAACAAGTTATAAAAACACTGTTATAAAAAGGTTTTGTGGATTGTTATTACTCAACGCAGTGTTAAGATTAGAAGTCGTTTTGTATTTTGTATTCATTAACTATACGAAACTTTAATGTAAATGATACTATATCAAGAACCACTTAAATTATGGATTCTGTTGATTTCATTCTGTGTTCTTTTCATTTAAACAACAATTTTAACAGGATTTGTTATTGAATAAATTATATACTGTACTATAAAGATTACCCTCTTAAAATATTTTTAATGATTATTCACTAATAAGATTAATGTACAGTGCTCTATTTCTTACCATAATTTTAAAAATAATAAAAATAATTTGAAAAATTTGTACTGTATATTAAATGTTTAGATAAATATCTGTATTTTTCTAATTATTGAAAGAATTATTTTAAATTCTGTTACGTGGGCATAGCTAAAATCTAGACAATTGATTTTTATAAACAATAAATTAACTTGTAGAGATCACTTAGGAAAATTGGAATCAGTCCAGAATAAAATTATAAATCAGTCAATTTTAATGGTATAAGAACAAATAATAAAGTTTTGAATTATATTAGTAATAAAGAAATAGATTATTTATATAAAATTAAAGTAAAAATTAAATTTTTTTCTTGATAGGTGTCTTAGGATTTGAATCTGAAGAGCAACTTGAAACATTTGTGACAACAGATGATGATGTAATAGGAGCTGCTATATTCTTAGATTTTGATGAATCTTCAACTGTGTTGAAATATAAACTGAGAATATCAGAATATTATGGCTTTAAAACAGAACAAACCTATTATATTAGCAGTCAAAAAGGCCCTCGAATATATAAAGGTAGGTTAAATAAAATATCAAATAATTACTTTTTGATTTTGGTCTATAATAATGGTTTCACCTAGAATTATCTTTGAAAAGATAATACTAGTAGGACAATTTTTGTTTATTCTATAGTAAGATAAATCTTATTCCAAAAAGAAAGAATTGCTTAAATACAATATTCTGTTATTAAATTAATAACAATATGATAGTCAAGCTTTTCATATGAGAATTTCCCCCCCATTACTTTATCTATATGACATTGTAAACCTAAATGTTTCAGAACCCAGACTTTGATTCTGTTGAGAAATTTTAGAAATAATGAGATCATGCAAAAAGAGATATATAAAACAACATAAATTATCATTTTTAAAATCAAATAGTAAAAATTTTTAAAGAATTTACATTTAAATTAATATATTATGTAAAACCTTATATAATCTATGGGCTTGAAAAGTTAGAGCTGTAATACTGAGTAAAGTTTTTTTTTTATTACTCTTGATTTATTTTCAGTGTTTTTTCTGTACATCAGCAGACTGATTCTTCATTAGAGTTGCCAGATGTCCCAATTTTTTGAGATTGCCCTTGTTTTTCGCAACTGAAAACTTTTATTGAGACTGCCTATACTTTAACCATCTAGCAACAAGATACAATGTTTTGTTCTTTCCTTGCTCTTTTTCTTATTTAATCCTTTGTTGTGTATTATTATGTAAATTGTACTCTCAATTTTTTTGCTTGTACTGATAATCCTTAATAAAGATTTTTGCTAGAGATCGTGGAAGAAGGAAAGATTGGCATTATAAGAAAAAACAAAATGGCAAAAATAAAGAATTACTGTAAAGTTGTGAGTATGTAATACAAGTGTTCGTCTATTTACAAACTTTCAGACTTACGAACAATTTGATTGTACGTCTAAAATTAAAATTTTTCACAAATTGTGAAGTTTTCTTGATGCTTGTGGGGTGGTGTTAAAATCAGTCTTTGGCCAGTAATAAATAATAAATGTAGGCTTTAAGCTTTTCATATCACCATGTTTTTGTTTTCCTGTGAATTTTTAGGTTCAATTAATGGTTATTTTTGCTATTGTTTGCAATTTTTATAAACTTTTGTGATTAGTGCTTAAAACATATGTTCAAAATGTAATAGTAAATCAAGTAGTGGAGATAAATACAAGAAGTGTTGCTCTATTATCATGCAAGCTAAACTGGGTATAACTTACTACGTTAGGTGAAATAACTGCATTTGAAATACCTGCTAGTAAGCAGTAGCTGATAGACGAGTGTAATGTATTCTTTTAAATATATTTAAGGATTAAACACCAACAGTAAATGGTTATTTTGTGTAAAAATGTATATAAAAATTAGCAAATAACTTCTTGTATATGCTCTAACAAATATAAATTTTGAGAGAACATAAAGTAGACAGCACTAGTAATTATCATTTCTTTATATTTAAGAATAAAAATTAAAATCAGTTTTTCAATCTTTATTTCAATTTATAAAATCAGAAAATTTTATAAGTACACTCATTAACATTGCAACTTGGCATCTTTTCCTTCATAGTGTTCAAGTTGCAAATTTATAAGAATGCTTGAAATATGCAAATTATCAAAAAATATGACAAGAGATGCTAAATAGATGCCATTAATATGTATGTGCATAACAAGTGCAGCAATACACATTATTATATACCATAGCATATTGTGAAATGTATGATTTTAAGTAATGGGTTGTGACAACAAATAAAATTTTATTTGAATTGATTCTGGAATTCTTACAAACTACAACACAATTTGTGATGTTCTCAACAAATGCTCAGCACAAAATAAAAATATTTAACTAAATAACAAAAAAACATTTACAAAGAATTCCAAATAACACCAAAAGCTATGAGAACAAAACAGTAAACTAAATAATTAAAACTAACTATCAATAATAATCTTAATGTTAATATAAGAAAGAATTTTAACAATAGAAGGCAAAAGTCAAGGATAGAAGAATAGTTGAGAGAGAACAAAGGGGTACCTCAATTCTTTCATTGATCAAGACTGTTGAAAAATTAGGTTGTCCAGATTACAGAATGATTTCTTCAATCTTGACCAGAGTGGGGATGTCGTCTTCTCACAAAAGAACCTCCAAAATCCAAAATGTCTTACTCTGTATCTAATCTTCTCGGCTTCTCCAATCATGAAGATCTCTTGCCAAACAGTCTTCGTCTTACCAACACACCTCAAAAAGCTATTGTCTCCTTTCTGTTCCTATCCAAAGGTTAATCAAAAAGTCCCCTTTTCTGAAGGCTCCTTCACTCCTATGTATAGTGTCCACAAAACCCATTGAACTGGTCTCTTGAACAGGGCCATGCCATGCCATGATATAGAGAGGCAGCCGCATCAGGCGGCATAAACAGCATTTCAAAGACTAGCATCATACTGAGAAAATCTACTTCACAGCTCTGCTCTTGAACACAAGGATGGAATTTCCCCAACATTGGTGTAGCTCCCGTCCTTTGGTAAAAAGGAAAGACAGTTCTAAAATGGTAGAAGGAAATGAAGAACAAAAAGTACAGAAGAAAAAGAAAAAAAAAACTGTGGCATAGTCACAATGTTTGTTGTTAAGTTCCATCAAGTTTTCATTGACTCCTGGTGACTGCATGGACAAGTCTTTCCTTGTCCATGTAGTTTTCTTGGCAAGAGTTGAGGAAGTGGTTTGCCATTGCCTTCTTCCTTGAATGATGTGTCACGCGCGTGCGGGGAAAGAATGCCTTCCGGGAGGACTTTTATGTGGAACTGGCCTCCTATTTAGTCGTTATTGGCAAGGAGAAAACCCGGAAAACTCCAAGCAGCCAGCCTGTCCGATCGCGGCACGAACCCACAACCGAACTTCCCAGTGTTTAGGGTCCAGTCACCACCGCTATGAGCGGCAACGGAGACCACTCGGCCACTGGTGGGCCATNAAGCTATATTTAATTATAATTTTCTTTAAAAGTATATTCATACTTTTAAAGAAAATTATTGAAGAATATTTTGTACTAGGTATGTATATATCCACCACACATTTTATTATTTCACCGAGTAAGTTTTTATTACTGTATTTTATTTTTAACTGTAGCCCTTATATTGTTGCTAGCGATTCGGAATGTAACTGTCATATTAAAAATTCATTTAGAGAAGTCTACAGTTTTTACTGGCTTATTGAACAAACGAATACGAATGGACCCTAGATCATCACTGACGTGCGATTAACTGATTGCCCTTGGAAGTTGGCTTCTTAGAGAGAAACAGCTTCCCTATTGTCAAATGTCACGGCATGCCACTGCATTTTAAGTATTTTTTTTAAAGCTCTTTCCTTTTAGTTCTTTTGCCACTTTTGCAGATCTTCTAATGAGACTCCTTGGCATCTCATTTGTGAGTATGCAGATCTTTGTTGAGGTCAATTTCTTCATCTGGGTCCCACTCTAAGCCCCAGTGACATCTCTCGGCTTTCTTTTAAAAAAGACAGTAGACATTTGAAGGATTTTTAATGATATTAAACTTCTGAGGCAATTTCTTGTGAGATGCACAATGTACCTATGAGGGAGGTAGAGGTACATTTAGCAAACTGGCCCTCATTTGCACATAACAATAATTAGTGCTATAAAATTACAAGAGTTTATTTGTAATGATTCATCTGCAATAAGAAAATATTTCAGTGTTATTATTAATTAATAAAAAATTTCAAGTATCATAACAAATTTAGTTATGTAGACAATCTGGTGTCTGAGATTTGTATGTAATGCGGTTATTGGATCAGATATTCTGTATTCACAATCCACAAAACCTTTTTATAACAATGTTGGTAACAATCTTCACTAATGTTTTCGACCTCCACTGTGGTCTTTTTCAGGTAGTGACTAAACGGTGTCTCCTCTCGACTGCTGGAACGATGACGCCCGAGATGTAAATAATGCACTTATCGCGTTTCACCTCTCCACTTGTCCCAGTTCAAATTCTTCGAAAATGTTAGTGAAGATTGTTATAAACAAGTTATAAAAACACTGTTATAAAAAGGTTTTGTGGATTGTTATTACTCAACGCAGTGTTAAGACTAGAAGTCGTTTTGTATTTTGTATTCATTAACTATACGAAACTTTAATGTAAATGATACTATATCAAGAACCATTTAAATTATGGATTCTGTTGATTTCATTCTGTGGTCTTTTCATTTAAACAACAATTTTAGCAGGATTTGTTATTGAATAAATTATATACTGTACTATAAAGATTACCCTCTTAAAATATTTTTAATGATTATTCACTAATAAGATTAATGTACAGTGCTCTATTTCTTACCATAATTTTAAAAATAATAAAAATAATTTGAAAAATTTGTACTGTATATTAAATGTTTAGATAAATATCTGTATTTTTCTAATTATTGAAAGAATTATTTTAAATTCTGTTACGTGGGCATAGCTAAAATCTAGACAATTGATTTTTATAAACAATAAATTAACTTGTAGAGATCACTTAGGAAAATTGGAATCAGTCCAGAATAAAATTATAAATCAGTCAATTTTAATGGTATAAGAACAAATAATAAAGTTTTGAATTATATTAGTAATAAAGAAATAGATTATTTATATAAAATTAAAGTAAAAATTAAATTTTTTTCTTGATAGGTGTCTTAGGATTTGAATCTGAAGAGCAACTTGAAACATTTGTGACAACAGATGATGATGTAATAGGAGCTGCTATATTCTTAGATTTTGATGAATCTTCAACTGTGTTGAAATATAAACTGAGAATATCAGAATATTATGGCTTTAAAACAGAACAAACCTATTATATTAGCAGTCAAAAAGGCCCTCGAATATATAAAGGTAGGTTAAATAAAATATCAAATAATTACTTTTTGATTTTGGTCTATAATAATGGTTTCACCTAGAATTATCTTTGAAAAGATAATACTAGTAGGACAATTTTTGTTTATTCTATAGTAAGATAAATCTTATTCCAAAAAGAAAGAATTGCTTAAATACAATATTCTGTTATTAAATTAATAACAATATGATAGTCAAGCTTTTCATATGAGAATTTCCCCCCCCATTACTTTATCTATATGACATTGTAAACCTAAATGTTTCAGAACCCAGACTTTGATTCTGTTGAGAAATTTTAGAAATAATGAGATCATGCAAAAAGAGATATATAAAACAACATAAATTATCATTTTTAAAATCAAATAGTAAAAATTTTTAAAGAATTTACATTTAAATTAATATATTATGTAAAACCTTATATAATCTATGGGCTTGAAAAGTTAGAGCTGTAATACTGAGTAAAGTTTTTTTTTTATTACTCTTGATTTATTTTCAGTGTTTTTTCTGTACATCAGCAGACTGATTCTTCATTAGAGTTGCCAGATGTCCCAATTTTTTGAGATTGCCCTTGTTTTTCGCAACTGAAAACTTTTATTGAGACTGCCTATACTTTAACCATCTAGCAACAAGATACAATGTTTTGTTCTTTCCTTGCTCTTTTTCTTATTTAATCCTTTGTTGTGTATTATTATGTAAATTGTACTCTCAATTTTTTTGCTTGTACTGATAATCCTTAATAAAGATTTTTGCTAGAGATCGTGGAAGAAGGAAAGATTGGCATTATAAGAAAAAACAAAATGGCAAAAATAAAGAATTACTGTAAAGTTGTGAGTATGTAATACAAGTGTTCGTCTATTTACAAACTTTCAGACTTACGAACAATTTGATTGTACGTCTAAAATTAAAATTTTTCACAAATTGTGAAGTTTTCTTGATGCTTGTGGGGTGGTGTTAAAATCAGTCTTTGGCCAGTAATAAATAATAAATGTAGGCTTTAAGCTTTTCATATCACCATGTTTTTGTTTTCCTGTGAATTTTTAGGTTCAATTAATGGTTATTTTTGCTATTGTTTGCAATTTTTATAAACTTTTGTGATTAGTGCTTAAAACATATGTTCAAAATGTAATAGTAAATCAAGTAGTGGAGATAAATACAAGAAGTGTTGCTCTATTATCATGCAAGCTAAACTGGGTATAACTTACTACGTTAGGTGAAATAACTGCATTTGAAATACCTGCTAGTAAGCAGTAGCTGATAGACGAGTGTAATGTATTCTTTTAAATATATTTAAGGATTAAACACCAACAGTAAATGGTTATTTTGTGTAAAAATGTATATAAAAATTAGCAAATAACTTCTTGTATATGCTCTAACAAATATAAATTTTGAGAGAACATAAAGTAGACAGCACTAGTAATTATCATTTCTTTATATTTAAGAATAAAAATTAAAATCAGTTTTTCAATCTTTATTTCAATTTATAAAATCAGAAAATTTTATAAGTACACTCATTAACATTGCAACTTGGCATCTTTTCCTTCATAGTGTTCAAGTTGCAAATTTATAAGAATGCTTGAAATATGCAAATTATCAAAAAATATGACAAGAGATGCTAAATAGATGCCATTAATATGTATGTGCATAACAAGTGCAGCAATACACATTATTATATACCATAGCATATTGTGAAATGTATGATTTTAAGTAATGGGTTGTGACAACAAATAAAATTTTATTTGAATTGATTCTGGAATTCTTACAAACTACAACACAATTTGTGATGTTCTCAACAAATGCTCAGCACAAAATAAAAATATTTAACTAAATAACAAAAAAACATTTACAAAGAATTCCAAATAACACCAAAAGCTATGAGAACAAAACAGTAAACTAAATAATTAAAACTAACTATCAATAATAATCTTAATGTTAATATAAGAAAGAATTTTAACAATAGAAGGCAAAAGTCAAGGATAGAAGAATAGTTGAGAGAGAACAAAGGGGTACCTCAATTCTTTCATTGATCAAGACTGTTGAAAAATTAGGTTGTCCAGATTACAGAATGATTTCTTCAATCTTGACCAGAGTGGGGATGTCGTCTTCTCACAAAAGAACCTCCAAAATCCAAAATGTCTTACTCTGTATCTAATCTTCTCGGCTTCTCCAATCATGAAGATCTCTTGCCAAACAGTCTTCGTCTTACCAACACACCTCAAAAAGCTATTGTCTCCTTTCTGTTCCTATCCAAAGGTTAATCAAAAAGTCCCCTTTTCTGAAGGCTCCTTCACTCCTATGTATAGTGTCCACAAAACCCATTGAACTGGTCTCTTGAACAGGGCCATGCCATGCCATGATATAGAGAGGCAGCCGCATCAGGCGGCATAAGCAGCATTTCAAAGACTAGCATCATACTGAGAAAATCTACTTCACAGCTCTGCTCTTGAACACAAGGATGGAATTTCCCCAACATTGGTGTAGCTCCCGTCCTTTGGTAAAAAGGAAAGACAGTTCTAAAATGGTAGAAGGAAATGAAGAACAAAAAGTACAGAAGAAAAAGAAAAAAAAAACTGTGGCATAGTCACAATGTTTGTTGTTAAGTTCCATCAAGTTGTCATTGACTCCTGGTGACTGCATGGACAAGTCTTTCCTTGTCCATGTAGTTTTCTTGGCAAGAGTTGAGGAAGTGGTTTGCCATTGCCTTCTTCCTTGAATGATGTGTCACGCGCGTGCGGGGAAAGAATGCCTTCCGGGAGGACTTTTATGTGGAACTGGCCTCCTATTTAGTCGTTATTGGCAAGGAGAAAACCCGGAAAACTCCAAGCAGCCAGCCTGTCCGATCGCGGCACGAACCCACAACCGAACTTCCCAGTGTTTAGGGTCCAGTCACCACCGCTATGAGCGGCAACGGAGACCACTCGGCCACTGGTGGGCATAGTCACTATACCATCAACAAAATTGTCAGTTTCTTTTTATTTTTAATAAATACATAAAAAATAAATACGACTTTTACAAAGGTAAAACCTTGCTTTTGTCTTAAATGGCAAAAAGGACAAAAGCAAGGTTTTACCTTTGTAAAAGTCATATTTATATTTTTATGTATTTATTAAATGTAAATAACACCAGCCATGTATTTCTATTGTTTTTACTTAAAATTGTCAGTCATTACCCAAGATTTACAATGTCATGTAGCATCCAGCTGAGTATGTAAAACATTCAGATGAGAAACAGAAAGCTTTGTAGTGCTTTGAGACTATTTTCCTTTTTGTTGTTTCGGTTTTTCCCTCACCCCTTTCGTTTTTGTTTATGATGCCACCTGTCCCCAGTTCACTGTATATTGGCAACTGGATTGGTCGGTTGTTGTCATGTGAGGAGGATATCTGCTGTGTAGGATATATAAGGCCGTGACCCACGTGGAGGAGTATCTTTTTTGCTTCCGGATTGTTCCTGACTATGATGTTCCGGCCACGTGTGTGAGATTGAGGTGCTGAGCATGGGAGACCCGAGGACGTAGGGAGACAAGATAGCAGAAATTGGTTTGCATCTAAACAAGGATAATGTGGCAGCGAATAACAACTTGTCCAAGAGAAAGAAGACCGACTGAAGATTCATAGGCGCAGATTAGTTCTTCTTCAAATGTTTGTAAGCAGCGTAAGATTGTCGTGAGTAATTTTGTTAATATCTTCCGTTGTTACACGTCATTCGCTGTCCCACGTTGTCACATGTCATGAACCCCCAAAGCTGAGGAAGGAAAGAGAGGAAAGGTGTATGTAGTGTTTGCATGTATCACTTGGATATAACACATTATTGTCAATAGTTCGTGTCTTATGTAATAATCCCGTTTGTACCTTAACGAAAGTTAATTAAATACTCAGTTATTGTTGAGCTGATTTGTCCGTTGTTTTTTTTTTTCTGTGTGAAGCCCTGCGGACCTGTTCTACAGGAAACTCTACAGCTTTCAATACAGTTGACGATCAGCAGGGTCTTGCATGTCAGAAGTAAGTTCAGAAGAATCTGCAAACTATTCCAATATGTTCAAATTATTGTCCTGTGGAAGACAGTGTTAGGAACATTTTCCAGAAACAGTCATATCACAGAGTCCAGAATCAAATCAACATATTGCAAAGCTATCAGATACCCTGGAATGTGCATCATTGTCCATGATGATACTATCCTGCACTATTTCGCTAGTTTGATCATGTGGCATTTCCTCAGCATAGTGTTGGTAGTTTCATTTCCAAATGATTTTCTGACTATTGTTCTGACCTAGACTAGTTTAATTGTTGAACAAACTATGTCTCTGCAAGTGTCCATTGCTCTCAAGTCTTCTAGGACCTAATCATTGAGTCCTGTGTTGTAGTGTACTTTCAGTAAATTATCTGGTTTGAATGGCATCCTCAATCAAATATGTAATTGTTTTCATGGACACAATTGATCATATATATGCTGTAAATGAGTGAGCTCTGATCTTGTTCACAGAAGCAAGTGATCCATGTACTGTCATGCTCCTGATGTGTTGATTCACATGCTCTCAAATTTGTCTTCAAGCACTTATTCTCTCTTTATTATGTCCAGTGCCGGCCCGAGTCAAGTTTCCGGATGGAGCGAGATCCTATTATGGCGCCTGGGGGTGGAACTCCGCCCACGCACTCGAGCCACGCACATCTCAACAGATAAGGCCATTCACATACTGGCCAAACGCTTGCAATTAAAATATCAAAAAGTGAAAAAATCTTTTTTCCTTTAAATTTCTTTACTACTGAAGCGCCCCCTAGGACTTTGCGCCTGGAGCGGCTGCTCCGTTTGCCCTATGGTAGGGCCGGCTCTGATTATGTCTCTGGGTGAGAATCTTGAATCCACTACAACATATAGCACTTCACAATGCTGAAATTACAGCCCAAATAGTTGACAAGTGTGTACAAACAAACTTCCCTTAATTTGATAATCCTGTCCTTGATGATGATCAAATGTTAAAGTCAAGGGGAGACAATGCTTAGTCAGCACCTGAAGAAGACCTCGGTGGAGGTCGAAAACGTTAGTGGATATTGTAACAAACACAACACTGATAAAGGTTTTTTGTGGACAGTTAAATGTTAAAGTATTAATACTTAATGTTGTTATTGTCTAAGCATATTATAAGCATCCAAAGAGCCTTGTTGCAGTTATTTATATTTTACAAGACAATAGTGCACTGTTCTGGTATAGTTACTTATCTGCTTTTTCAGGTACTATCCATACCACCAATCACCACAGAACTTTGATCATTTGCATATCTCAGTTACCTTTTATCTTGCCTCTGAATTCCATAATTTTGGGCTTTTTTCCTTATGGTGTTGCAAGTTAGAGTATTTTAAGAATTGAGTACTTCTTGTTGTAAATAAATAAATTAATTAATTAAATTATTTTTTAAACTAGTAAACAAAATAATAAACATTTGAGTAAACAAAATTGTCTACTAAACAACCAGTAAGATTTTTTTGAAATTTCTAATATTTTAATTTTTATTACACCCAGGTTACAGGACAGGTTATGCTGAATCAGAATATCTGCAATCAAATTTCCTTAACTTTCAAGCTGCAATTGATTTAGCATTTATAAATTTACATAAAAAAGAAAAAAGTATAAAAGATATCGTGGTAAGTATATATTTATCAGTTCTAAAACTTTTTAATTTGAATTAAATAAGATTTATATTAATTGACTATTTATCCAAGTTCTGTCTTATTTTATTTTATTTGAAATTATATGAAGCTGAGTCAATAATTATCTGAATGTATTTATAAAATTTATTAAAGCACTAGCCTAATAGAAATTACTAGCCTAAATAGAAACAGATCTGTACTTTATTTTTGTCATTATGCCCTGTAAAAAATTGTTTGATTTGAGAGGTATGCACAGCTTTCTTTAGATATTGGTATGTGGGAAATCTTCTGCCTTTTTAGGAATGAGTAGACTGAATGAATAATCTGAAGGGATAATGAGGTCAGGATTCAATGGGGATATTCCAATGCCTCCGGAGCACTTCAACAGTTAATCCAGCAGAATAAGTATAAGCATTATCATATAGTAACAGAATTGCCTTTAGAGGACGATTCTTGGCATGTTGTTCAAATAACAGGCTTCAGTTGATTACACATCTGATGTAATAAGCATTGCTTACCATTGTGCTCCTTTCCTGGTAATGTTCTGGTATTGATCTTTTGGAGTGCTAAAATATGGTTAGCATCACTTTTCCTACTGTTGATTGAGTTTTGAACTTTTTCTTGACTGTTGAGCCACCATATTTCTGTTCTATGCTCTGCTGTTTAATCTCCATCTCATAGTGAACCCACATTTTATCTCTAGTGATGATTTTTTCCAAGGTATCACCATTATTAGCACAGCAATCCAAAAGCCATTGATAATGTCAAAATGATTGTGTGATTTTGAGAATTGTTTATGGACTCATCTCGCACAGATTTTACAAAAGCTGAGTCTGTTTTGGACGATTACATATTTAGAACCATGATTAATGTGTGCGTGATTTTCCACTTCATCACTTCATGCACTTGTTCTGAAGAATCATAATCTATAATTTAGGATACTTTTTTAAAAAACACTTCAATTATCAAGAATTCAGAGATTTTTGTCATGTTTAGGATATTAAAACATTAAGATATTTAGTTTTAAGATTTTAATCAGACTAATGTTTTTTCTGACTTTTTTTTATATAATTAATTATAACTTCTATGAATGAATGTTAATAAAAGAATTAACTTCAACTACATTTTCTCATTGATGTTTCAAAATTACATCAGTGATATTTCAAATAGAAAATTTTAATTGGAGCTAATTAAAATGGGAAATGTAATTATATACTGTATATCATTTTTATTTATATTTATTTATATTTAATTTTTTTTAGTTTAATTTTCATTTACATTGTAATTAATAACATGTAATTAATTTTTATTGTGCTTTAATTACAGCTACTTATTCAAGGTATGCTTTATCCACCGTACAATTATTTGGATATGAGTTTTTCTCTCATTGATCTTATTCCAACGATGATTATTTATGGTTTTATTGTATTTGTTCCATTGATGGTGAAAAGAATTATAGATGAAAAGAGTAACAGAGCAAAGGTATTTATGAATTTGACATACTGATTACCTAGACTTGATTATCTAGAATGAATAGAAAAATATGGTCATATTTTCAAACAACTGACAACATAAATTGTAAAAAAATGATAAAACAGTAGAAAATATCAGTCAAACACAATATTTCTTGTGCTGTGCTTTTAAATAAACTTGCACATTATAGATTCTTGCAAATGCTTATTCTTGTAAAATACAGTAAACCTCACCTAATAGAACTGAGTTAACTTGAAGTTGTCTACTTGTCCCAAGCACAACATATAGGATTTTTCATATAAAATGGTCTCCAAGTCAAAATTGATGATACTTATTTTTAACTCAAACCTATTTTTCTGTTTTATCCTTTGCACTTTGATTAGTCCATGATTTACATTTTCTCATACAGTCTATATAATGTCTATATTCTGTGTGAATATAGACATTAAGATAATTAAACACTATGGCTTCATTCCAAGAACGTCATCATACCATTATAATCTTGCATTGACATTTTTTCACTGTTACAGTATGTTACCGGCATTCTGATTGGGACACAAGCAATGCCTAGAAAATTCTCTTAAATGCGCCATAAACTATATACAATTTTGTAATCATTCTATGAACAGATTCTTGAAAAACAACTTGATTATGGGAAATTTATGGCCAAAGAAAAATTTGAGAAAATTTAGGTATGAAATTTATTAATTCAAAACTCTGACTCAAATTTGGGATGTTTTTATCCCTTAAATTTTGACATAATGAGGTTTTACTGAATTTTACTACCACATTTTATCTCAGTTTCATGTTTATTCCCAAATACATTATGAGTCATTTACTGTCTTTTATCATGTTTTGGATAAACTATGAAATATTCACCTGAGCTTCATTCTGCTATTAATGCTTTAGAAATTTTTAGTTAATTACTAAATTTGCATAATTTGTAAAATTTAAATTTATATTTTCTTATAAAAATTGGCTTATAACAATGTCAAAATAGTTTTGTAATAATTAATAACTGATAATCAATTAATCAGTAGTACAATGCTAAAAAAAATAAATGATGTGATTATTATAATGATTATATTTATTGCACCCTTGTAAAAAAGGTGTTTTGTTTTATTTATAAAAACACTTATTGCACTTTCTTTGTAATTTTTATACTGTTATATAAATTTTTAAAACATAAAAGAATTACAAAATTTATTTATTTGCATAAATTAAAGAAAATTTTTAAAAATTAGTTATAATAACTATTATTTAAAATTAATTACAGTGGTACCTCAGGATACGAAATTAATCCATTCCGAAACTGAGATTGTATCATGAAAATGTCGTAAGGTGAATCATTTTTCCCCTATGATTATATGTAAAACCAAATAATTTGTTCCAACACAAAAAACAAACTTCAAATTAAAGCTAATTTGTACATTAAAAAAAAAATAACTATAGTAAGGAAAACACTGAAAAATGCATTTTGTAGTTGTAAATGTATAAATAACTATAATAGAATAATAATTGATAAAAAAAAATGTAGTTTTATTTGCACTTTACTTTTGAGGATAGACGACAGTGGAGGTGTAAACTGGTGGCAGAAGAAAGGGAGAAGGGAAATGACACTAAAACTTAACTTACATAATATAATGTAACAATAACTTAACACTAATTTTTTTAATCTTTTCTGTTTCATATTTTTTTTTAATTTTTTATTCACTGCTTTTTTGCTTTCTTTCCTTCACTTCTACCAGCACTTTCACTGGATAGAGGTCGCTTGGTAAAATATCTATCCAAAGAGTCATTTTAGAAACATTTTAAAAAGTAGGCTACTTTTTAAAATGTTTCTAAAATGACTTAGGCAAATGTCATTACTCCGAGTGGCAATACGGCCAGTGTGAACCTTTTCGGAATGTTTCTTTTCAATAAAATCAATCATTTTCTGATAATATCTCGAGATTTCCTTTATCGAGCGAGATCCTTCCACGACGATGCAAACGCGCAGACTGAGACTGACGAACAGAAATGAATAAAAAAATGGCGCTGCGAACTTACATAATGTTGTTTGATGAGTTTTTGTTTGTATCATGGAGCAAAAATATGTTCAAATTTCGTGTCGTATCCTGAAAATTTTGTATGCTGGGGCGTTCGTATCCTGAGGTACCACTGTATCTGTTAGTTCATATTTCTAAACCATTTTATGAGGTCACAGACATGGTCCAAACCATTTCTGAAACTCTCTTCCCGAAATAAAATATTTTCAGAATTTTATTTTGTTCAGAAAAGAAAAAATTAATCCTTTTTAATAATTTGTTTGTCATCTAGAATTTCAAATGACTGACACCTTGAAATAATAACTGTTAAGAGAGGTAAACAATTTTTGAATTAAACAAAAGTCACAAGATCAGTAAACATCTTTGGTAGAGATTGGAAATTGGTGTTGAATTAAATGCCAGTGTTGATCTTTGAATTCTCGAGTCTGTCTCAAATTACCACTGGAAACAGGTGAGAACAATCGGGATGTAAGATCAAGAGACATCTAAAACATCTATTTTATTCATGCATTAAGATAATAATTTGTGGAGGCTTTGCAGGAAATGTATGATGACTGTAATTGTAGAAAAAATTGCCCAAATGCTACTTTTTGTAACAGAAATTAGTCAAAATATTTGTCTCTCTCCATTCATCTATTTAATCAGAGCATATAAACCAAAACATATGATGAATTTTGAATAAATGTTCCTGATGCTGTTGTGGGTCTTCTTTTAATAAGATGAAAACATAAGTAACCATTATTAGATGTTCCTTTTTTCTTGTTAATTGCAAAATTTTATCATCCATTTAGAGGAATTTTTTTTTTTAATTTAATTTGCAAAATATATTATTCATACAATTGAACTGAACTGTAAATAAAGATTTTGAATTTCAGTTTTAATTGTTGGCGGATTCTTTATTGATTATTGAAATTGATAATTCTTAACAACAATTTTAATTTCAATAAGAATTACTTGATTAAAAAATGCTTAACATCAATTAATTAATCAAACTATTCATTTATTAAGTAATTTTATACTTCATTATTTAATGTTTCAATAAAAAATAAATTCACTAACCTTATGTGAAACTTTGCATTTAATTGTGAAAAATGTTATGAATGTTTTCGGTCCACACCTAGGACTTCCCTAAAAACTCTAATCTCTCTGGTGCTAGCATTCTAGCTTGGAATTCCAAGCATCAGAGAGATTCAATTTTTAGGGAAGTTCTAGGTGTGGACCGAAAACATTCATAACATTTTTCACAATTAAATGCAAAGTTTCACATAAGGTTAGTGAGTTTTATTTATGTTGATTAATCCCGTGCTGTTAGAAGGTTACTCTACGGCAGTGTTTTTCAACCTTCTTGAATAAGCGACCACTTTAGAAGTTAAAAGATTCTGGCGACCCCCCAGGGCCATATTAAAACTATATCAGTGATTTTAAAAACTACGTATTTCATTTTCTTTCTGTTGAGACCTAAATATCGATTGAAAAACCAATTGTACTGTAAAATAAACAGGTACAGCCTTCTCACTGAAATTGTAGTTTTTTTTTATTGTAGTGTAGGACCTACAAACACTTGTCTTTTTCTTTTACCCACAATCCTCGTGTAAGGCTTTGCAACCCCCCCTGGGGATTGTGACCCACAGGTTGAAAAACACTGCTGTATGGAAATAAATTGTATTCATTTTGTATTCACAGCATTATCAGGTAATGTTTAATGAAAGGTTAATTTATTGATGTTTGCATCAACATTAACCTTTTATAGAAGCGAAAAGTGTCTCAACAAGAAATAAATTACATTCGTTTTACATTAAACGAATGTAATTTATTTCTTGTTGAGACACTTTTATAAGCTTAATAGCTTATTTTAATGAATGATATAATGGATAAACTGTTTCTCACCTATATTTTTAGTAGTATCAATAATATCAGTATCAACAATCAGAATTCAAATGTGAAAAAATTAATCTAACATACTATTAATGAGAAATAACAGCAAGTTCTTTTAAAAAATGTACTGTAACAATTACTAAAAACTCTAACAGAGAGATTTTTTGTTATTGCTATATTTCTACAGTAGTATTTATTATTAGTTATATATCTTATAACAGATATTTTTATGATTAATTACTATGCTTCAGAAATTTAAGTTAAAATCAGTAATTAAATCTTAATCCAAATATTCATTATTACTGCATTAAAATGAATAATTATTATTTCATTAATTAAACTACTTTTATCTTGTAGGAAATGATGAAAATGATGGGTATGACTACTGCAAGTTACTGGGGAAGTGTTTTTGTTAGCAATTTGATATTAATGACAATATTATCTCTTATTATCACGATCTTATATTCAATTGCATTTGGTGATGGCATATCTGTAATTGGAAATACTTCAAGTACCTTATTTTTTATGCTTATGTTTCTCTACTGTGCAGCTTCTATTTTATTTTGTTTTGTAATTACTACTATATTTAATAAAGGTAATAATACAACTAATTATATTTAACTTTTTAAAAAATGCAATTGCAGTTTTAAACTTACCATTTTTTTAAAAAACAAAATTAAATTCTAATTATTATCTTGATCAATACAAAACCTTCCTCACTTATTTCTAGCCATTTATACACGCGTACGAACATTTTCGGCCTTCTTAATAGGCCTTCTTCAGGTACACTGTGGTACGTACTCGTGTATAAATGGCTAGAAATAAGTGAGGAAGGTTTTGTATTGATCATCTTAAAATAGTTCTAGTTACAAATGCATAGAAGTGTAATTATTATGTATTCTCTAATTCTAAGTTTATCTTTAGATCAGCTTGGCAATTAAAATTTAATGTTAAAAACATATTGAAATATAACAATGGCAATATATGAAGTATGCAATGCCATTTATGGCTTATGTTTACATTATTTTGTTATTCCAGAGAATATGTAACCTAGTGAATTTTTTTTACCATTTTATCATAAAATTGAAATGAATTCCTTCAAGATCTTGAATTAATTCATTCACTAGAAAGTGTTTTTTTTTTATATCTTCTGAAAAGTTTATTTTTTGGCATTTACACCATTATGCCATTGCCCACTTCAAAACACATTATGCCATATTTATGTGAACAGGGTGGCAGCACCCAGAGCCAGGTCTGACACCCACCTGTGACTTTTCGGCTCACAGGAACCTTCAAACTATGCAAGCAGCCACATATGTAGGACTTCTATGGAGTAAGGGATGATGAAGGGAATTTTAGAGAAGCAGGAAAGCTCAGAAGTAATGCACTCCACTATGCATTTAACCAGCAAAAATAAATATGTATTTTCCTGAGTCAAAAGGTACAAAAAAAGTAGAGATACAAGAGGTTTCTAAATCCTTATGCACCCCTATATGAGAATGTGTTTACAATTGTATACATGGGTTGATAAATACCTGGATGGGTAATGTTTGATGATCATTGATGTCCTGAAGAGGGAAAGGCTTGTTTACAATGAATCTTGATTCAGAAAAGTCCGCAATAGTAATATTCACAATGGGTCCAGTTAATTATTCATTATTTGGAGTAGCAAAGGTCTGGTGGGAAAGTGGTGGGAGTTTGAGAAGATCAGCAGTTGAGTACAGCAGACATAAACATGCACTTCAAAATGAAACTGGGTGGGGTGAGCATATTTGGTAGTTTGCTGGTTGATCCAATCTCTGATTTTTTAAAATATTTCCTTTGATGATTAGTTTTCTATTGGAAGATGTGTCACCTATGAAGGAAGTGTTATCGGTGGGAAAATCTCGTGAACTTCCTCCACTGTATTTATTGATATGGGTTTAAATAGAATAACTTTCAAACAAAACTTAAATAATTGAGATTGTTAAAATTACAAAAAATAGTAGCCTGGGTTCTCATATTTATAAAGGAACATATATACAAGAATTACAAGATTTATTGACAAAATTTCATAAATTAATGAAAATTCTTTCAACATTTAGGCTTTTTCCTTATATCCTCATATTCTAAATCTTATTCAGCTTGCTTGAAATGTTACAGGGAGATGAGTTCTATTTCTGACTTCCTAAAATCTGGTTAAATCGTGAACATTATTTATATTTAGGATTACCATAGCTTGCATCCTTTCTTCCCCAGACATGTTTTCTTTTTAAATGTAAAATGTTTCTCCAGGCAGATATAAAATAAAAACAAAATGCAAGATTGTAAATGCATTTCTTTACCAAAAACCTTTATCTACAGGGATTCAGTTGCCTCTAGTCATAAACTGCAGAATTTTTTATTTTATGATATTAAATAATTATTTCAACAAGTATAAATAAAATTGCATTTCACTGAGAGAAATATAAATAGATTAAACATTAAAGCTTGTTCTGTAGTGAAAACACATAAAATGATTAACATTTTATAATTTATAATATCAGTTGTTTATATGTCCTGTGAAACTTTAATAAAATGAAGTTCTTGAATAATGAATGCCATCCCTCTTGTTTTAACAGCTGCAAAGGTAAGTTAACCTGAAGATGCCCATTTAACACAGTCAAAAACATTAGTTTTCTCATAACTTTTGTGCTGAAAATTGGTTTTGTTTGCTTTGTTTATTGAATAACAAATTTCAAATTTGATATTTCAGAATTTGAGATATTTTTAACTGAAAAATTGTATTATTAAGAGATAAATTAATACAAAAATCTGACATTTTCAGTTAATCAATATTCATTACTTATATATTCATTAGTTATATTTCAGTCAATTCATTTGGGTCATTTTGAAATGTATGATAACTTTATTATTTAAATCAAAACTTTTATTTTATTTTTATTGTATTTTTTATCCAATAACACAAGTATAATTATTTAATTTCTCTTTTATCTCTTCGTAGCTGCATTAGCTGTAATAGCCACAATTATTCTTTGGATAACCAGTTACGCTGTACCTAGTACTCTTTTGATGCCTTTCAGAGATAATGATTTCTTTGTAACTGTCAGTCTAAGTGATAAATTACTATCTTGTCTTTTACCAAATATGGCACTCACTTGGGCTAGTAAAATAATGTCCACATTCAAACAATTTGGTAAGTACTGTTAAATGTTTTTGAAAATTGCTTATTTTTAAATTTTGTTGCAAAATTATTAGAAATGGAAAAAGAATAACTCTCGTGTGATAAATTTAAATCACTAATAATTTGGAAAATACTTATAAAGATTAAATAATTTATATGATGACAATACAGAAGTCATATTGTTGATAATAAAAATGAATTTAGTTATTGACTTAAAACAGGATCTTTCATTTATTTCCAAATTAATTTATTTGTATCTGTATCAGATGTTTCTGAGAGATGAAATAGAAAAGTATATATGACTTGTTATCATATAAATATTTTTTCTTTATTGGCATTTATCAAGTTAGCTCAATTAGTATAGTATTGGGCTTTCTAACAACTAATGATCAAAAATCATTAAATTACTTCAGTTTGTTGCAGTTTTCCATCCTGTACACTGTCTTCACTCAGGAAAATCATGAAATGACAAAACAATATTATAATGTGTGTTAGTTTAGTTTCAGAGTAGGCCAACTCTATGTAAAATCATGATAAATCAAATGCTAAGATGCCTATACTCTTCTTAGCATTTGATTTATCTTTATAATGTGTGTAAGGAAGACTTAAAAACAAAAGTGGTATTAAAAGTACAAATTTTTGTCTTTTTCCATCTTTGATAATTTGGCATTGTATGAAAGAAAAGATTATAAAGACAGATTAATAATCATTTGATAGCTTAAACATTTTTTTTTATACTTTTATTTTTATTTTCAGAAACAATTCATGTAATTAAAAGCTTCATCAAAGTTTTATAACAGTTTACAGTGATAATAAAATGTTTTGAAATACATATACAATATTGCAACAATATAAATTCTTAAACCATTAACAGAATATACAGAAAATAAATTTACTTTTCAATCAAATTAATATTTATGAAGTTATCAATTGACTGTTATATTTGTTATTTTATATATATAAAAATAATTATCTTAAATATTTCACTTTTAATTTTAGATACTGGATCTCATTGGGACAATTTATTTGAAGCACCATACAAAGGAGGAGATGGTTTTAGTTTAGGACATATATTAGGCATGTTAATATTGTCCTGCTTTTTATATAGTCTTCTAATTTGGTACTTGGATTCAGTTTGGCCTTGGCAACCAGGTGTGCCAAAACCTCCTTACTTCTGTTTTCTTGTAAGTTGGCTTAAAAATTAAAATTTTTATTGTTAATATCGTACAATATTTGAATTTTCAGTACTATATTTATAATACTGTATTACTTAAAATATAACNTAATTAAATTCTTTTTTAAACTAGTAAACAAAATAATAAACATTTGAGTAAACAAAATTGTCTACTAAACAACCAGTAAGATTTTTTTGAAATTTCTAATATTTTAATTTTTATTACACCCAGGTTACAGGACAGGTTATGCTGAATCAGAATATCTGCAATCAAATTTCCTTAACTTTCAAGCTGCAATTGATTTAGCATTTATAAATTTACATAAAAAAGAAAAAAGTATAAAAGATATCGTGGTAAGTATATATTTATCAGTTCTAAAACTTTTTAATTTGAATTAAATAAGATTTATATTAATTGACTATTTATCCAAGTTCTGTCTTATTTTATTTTATTTGAAATTATATGAAGCTGAGTCAATAATTATCTGAATGTATTTATAAAATTTATTAAAGCACTAGCCTAATAGAAATTACTAGCCTAAATAGAAACAGATCTGTACTTTATTTTTGTCATTATGCCCTGTAAAAAATTGTTTGATTTGAGAGGTATGCACAGCTTTCTTTAGATATTGGTATGTGGGAAATCTTCTGCCTTTTTAGGAATGAGTAGACTGAATGAATAATCTGAAGGGATAATGAGGTCAGGATTCAATGGGGATATTCCAATGCCTCCGGAGCACTTCAACAGTTAATCCAGCAGAATAAGTATAAGCATTATCATATAGTAACAGAATTGCCTTTAGAGGACGATTCTTGGCATGTTGTTCAAATAACAGGCTTCAGTTGATTACACATCTGATGTAATAAGCATTGCTTACCATTGTGCTCCTTTCCTGGTAATGTTCTGGTATTGATCTTTTGGAGTGCTAAAATATGGTTAGCATCACTTTTCCTACTGTTGATTGAGTTTTGAACTTTTTCTTGACTGTTGAGCCACCATATTTCTGTTCTATGCTCTGCTGTTTAATCTCCATCTCATAGTGAACCCACATTTTATCTCTAGTGATGATTTTTTCCAAGGTATCACCATTATTAGCACAGCAATCCAAAAGCCATTGATAATGTCAAAATGATTGTGTGATTTTGAGAATTGTTTATGGACTCATCTCGCACAGATTTTACAAAAGCTGAGTCTGTTTTGGACGATTACATATTTAGAACCATGATTAATGTGTGCGTGATTTTCCACTTCATCACTTCATGCACTTGTTCTGAAGAATCATAATCTATAATTTAGGATACTTTTTTAAAAAACACTTCAATTATCAAGAATTCAGAGATTTTTGTCATGTTTAGGATATTAAAACATTAAGATATTTAGTTTTAAGATTTTAATCAGACTAATGTTTTTTCTGACTTTTTTTTATATAATTAATTATAACTTCTATGAATGAATGTTAATAAAAGAATTAACTTCAACTACATTTTCTCATTGATGTTTCAAAATTACATCAGTGATATTTCAAATAGAAAATTTTAATTGGAGCTAATTAAAATGGGAAATGTAATTATATACTGTATATCATTTTTATTTATATTTATTTATATTTAATTTTTTTTAGTTTAATTTTCATTTACATTGTAATTAATAACATGTAATTAATTTTTATTGTGCTTTAATTACAGCTACTTATTCAAGGTATGCTTTATCCACCGTACAATTATTTGGATATGAGTTTTTCTCTCATTGATCTTATTCCAACGATGATTATTTATGGTTTTATTGTATTTGTTCCATTGATGGTGAAAAGAATTATAGATGAAAAGAGTAACAGAGCAAAGGTATTTATGAATTTGACATACTGATTACCTAGACTTGATTATCTAGAATGAATAGAAAAATATGGTCATATTTTCAAACAACTGACAACATAAATTGTAAAAAAATGATAAAACAGTAGAAAATATCAGTCAAACACAATATTTCTTGTGCTGTGCTTTTAAATAAACTTGCACATTATAGATTCTTGCAAATGCTTATTCTTGTAAAATACAGTAAACCTCACCTAATAGAACTGAGTTAACTTGAAGTTGTCTACTTGTCCCAAGCACAACATATAGGATTTTTCATATAAAATGGTCTCCAAGTCAAAATTGATGATACTTATTTTTAACTCAAACCTATTTTTCTGTTTTATCCTTTGCACTTTGATTAGTCCATGATTTACATTTTCTCATACAGTCTATATAATGTCTATATTCTGTGTGAATATAGACATTAAGATAATTAAACACTATGGCTTCATTCCAAGAACGTCATCATACCATTATAATCTTGCATTGACATTTTTTCACTGTTACAGTATGTTACCGGCATTCTGATTGGGACACAAGCAATGCCTAGAAAATTCTCTTAAATGCGCCATAAACTATATACAATTTTGTAATCATTCTATGAACAGATTCTTGAAAAACAACTTGATTATGGGAAATTTATGGCCAAAGAAAAATTTGAGAAAATTTAGGTATGAAATTTATTAATTCAAAACTCTGACTCAAATTTGGGATGTTTTTATCCCTTAAATTTTGACATAATGAGGTTTTACTGAATTTTACTACCACATTTTATCTCAGTTTCATGTTTATTCCCAAATACATTATGAGTCATTTACTGTCTTTTATCATGTTTTGGATAAACTATGAAATATTCACCTGAGCTTCATTCTGCTATTAATGCTTTAGAAATTTTTAGTTAATTACTAAATTTGCATAATTTGTAAAATTTAAATTTATATTTTCTTATAAAAATTGGCTTATAACAATGTCAAAATAGTTTTGTAATAATTAATAACTGATAATCAATTAATCAGTAGTACAATGCTAAAAAAAATAAATGATGTGATTATTATAATGATTATATTTATTGCACCCTTGTAAAAAAGGTGTTTTGTTTTATTTATAAAAACACTTATTGCACTTTCTTTGTAATTTTTATACTGTTATATAAATTTTTAAAACATAAAAGAATTACAAAATTTATTTATTTGCATAAATTAAAGAAAATTTTTAAAAATTAGTTATAATAACTATTATTTAAAATTAATTACAGTGGTACCTCAGGATACGAAATTAATCCATTCCGAAACTGAGATTGTATCATGAAAATGTCGTAAGGTGAATCATTTTTCCCCTATGATTATATGTAAAACCAAATAATTTGTTCCAACACAAAAAACAAACTTCAAATTAAAGCTAATTTGTACATTAAAAAAAAAATAACTATAGTAAGGAAAACACTGAAAAATGCATTTTGTAGTTGTAAATGTATAAATAACTATAATAGAATAATAATTGATAAAAAAAAATGTAGTTTTATTTGCACTTTACTTTTGAGGATAGACGACAGTGGAGGTGTAAACTGGTGGCAGAAGAAAGGGAGAAGGGAAATGACACTAAAACTTAACTTACATAATATAATGTAACAATAACTTAACACTAATTTTTTTAATCTTTTCTGTTTCATATTTTTTTTTAATTTTTTATTCACTGCTTTTTTGCTTTCTTTCCTTCACTTCTACCAGCACTTTCACTGGATAGAGGTCGCTTGGTAAAATATCTATCCAAAGAGTCATTTTAGAAACATTTTAAAAAGTAGGCTACTTTTTAAAATGTTTCTAAAATGACTTAGGCAAATGTCATTACTCCGAGTGGCAATACGGCCAGTGTGAACCTTTTCGGAATGTTTCTTTTCAATAAAATCAATCATTTTCTGATAATATCTCGAGATTTCCTTTATCGAGCGAGATCCTTCCACGACGATGCAAACGCGCAGACTGAGACTGACGAACAGAAATGAATAAAAAAATGGCGCTGCGAACTTACATAATGTTGTTTGATGAGTTTTTGTTTGTATCATGGAGCAAAAATATGTTCAAATTTCGTGTCGTATCCTGAAAATTTTGTATGCTGGGGCGTTCGTATCCTGAGGTACCACTGTATCTGTTAGTTCATATTTCTAAACCATTTTATGAGGNATGACACACATTTCGTGTGTTTTATGTGAGCAGTTCTGTTCGAACAGTTGGAGTAGAGAATATTGTAAGTTACTGCTAGCAAAACAATGCGAAATATGTAATTATTTTCGGTAATCCGGACACTTTTGGTAATCTGACACACCTTTGGTCCCATACCTGTCGGATTATCAAGGGACAACTGTACTCAATGAAGACTAAACGTTGTTGAAAACAAAAAATTGCATTTAAAATAGTACAGTAGAAGCCGTTCTTCAGGTTAAGCCTTAATCCTCTCCCTCTCCCCCTGTGGGGGAATTTCGAAAAATCCCTTCTTAGTGTGCATTTTCATGACATATCTTAACTGTGTACAAAATTTCACCTGTATAGGTTCATCGGTTTGCTATGGGCGATGATGGGTCAGTCAGTCAGGACAAGTAATTTTATATATTTAGACATTTTGACTTAATATTTGACTTAAGATCTAAAATGTCATGACTTTTACATTTTTTATTTAGTAATTTAAAATTAAAAGATTTCTAACTAATTTTTATTACTTTGATATTATTAAATATTTAATTTATTCTTAGGATAGTCAATTTTGTTTTTCCTTACAGAAATCTTATTGGTCAAATTATCACGAGGAAGCAGATTTTCCCATTATAAAGACTTGTCCTTCATCTTACTTTGAAGAAGAACCAATAACTTCCACACCATCAGTAGCAATATCTCATCTAATAAAGGTTGTATTAATTTATTAGAACTTATTAATTACTGGAGTGCACTTAGTAAAAAATTGACTATGTTGTTTTGCATACTTTCTATAAAGTATCTGCCTGCATATTTCAGTTATGATATACATTATTATTAGAGAACTATGACATTTCAGAAAAATAGTTTTCTTAATATAAATAGCATTTTTTTAATAACATTTTTATTTTATAATTTGATTCTTTTAAATGATTTAACCCAACTGTATCATAATAATAACCACACAAAACTGGTTACACTTAATAAATAAGCAAAACAAACCAATATCCATCACAAAAATGTAAGACAGCTAACATTTTTAGCATGTGATAAATGGACATCTTCAGGCTAACAGATCACTACAGCTGTTAAAACAACAAATATTGCTGTACAAATGCTAAGAGGGGTGATGTAAGAAAGAGAAAAGGAAGGAGAGAGGGTGTAAGGTGACAGCTTGTAAAGATTTTACAGATATGTACCTTCAATTTGGCATATACACTATCCGCATTACAGATCACAGAACCAACTGCAACTTGGAACACATAGGTGCTACATTGCACCCTTTAAACACTCGCCTCAAAGAACGTTGGAATTCTATCATGAAAGGGTTGACCAATGCCACATTGGCCACCTTTGCTTCAAATCTCAATATTAATGTACAGTTTGACCATGTGTGCCTCATATATAGTACCATACACAAGAAACAGCTTGGGTATATAGAGCAGTTAGAGATATAAAATGTCACCAGAAAAAAAGCCACTATAAACGTTTAAGATATAGAATCCTTCCTCTGGCTTGGAAGTCGAAACTGTAATCTTACACCAATCTCCTCCTCCCTTTCTCTTACATCACCCTCTTAATACATGTATGGCAATCTCTGTTGATTTAACAGCTGCAGTGGTCAGTTAGTCTGAAGGTGCCCATTTAACATGAGTGTAAATGATAGCTGTCTTACATTTTGTGCTTGATATTGTTTGTTTTACCTTTGTGTGTGATAACAGTTTTGAGACACTGTATGTACAGTACATGTACATAAGTATATACTGTACATATTGCTAAAAAGTTATTTTGTTTCCCGCAATAAGATTTTCCACACTGCACGTCTTCACAAATTTTAGATTAAAACTTCTGTTGTTTAATAACTTTCCTATATATTATAGTGTACTATAATTTAGTGTATTGTATATTTTCTTGCAATTTTATAGTATTTATATAAAACAAAAATTTTTAATGTAATGTTAGAATGCCTTATTTTTCTGTTGTTAATCTGGGGTTAGTTATCTAAAATAGCCAAAAATATCATTTTAATAAAGAAAAACAATTCATTTGTAAAAAATATATATTTTTGGACTTTATAATAGCTCATAACTCATTTTGAAGTGTTTGTTACCATAAATATAATTTATTCCTAAGCTTTTGTGTCCTTATTATACAATTTTATTATTTAAATGTCTACTAGGACTTATTATACTAGTGTCAAAGTCCTGCAAAATGAGGAAACTTATCCAGAGGAAAAAAAAACTTTATTGTTGGCCTGATTTACTTGTACATAATTAACACACTGTGTTTTGGACCATTTAGTCCCTCATAAGCAGATTTACCACCACCGTGTGCTAAAAACGAGATTTAAAAAGGGGTTACAATAATGTTACAATAATTTACCGTACAATAATACTATTGAAATGACTTTCAATATGGATTTTTATGTTGTTATTTTCATATTTCAAAGTTATTAGAGACCAAAATAATGTAAGTCATTTTAATAGTATTATTGTACAGTAAATTATTGTAGCATTATTGTAACCCCTTTTTAAATCTCATTTTTAGCACATGGTAGTGGTAAACCCACTGATGAGGGACCAAATGGTCCAAAATACAAAGTGTGTTAATTGTGTACAGGTAAATCAGGCCAACAATAAAGTTTTCTTTTTTCTCTGGATATGTTTCCTCATTTTGCAGGACTTGGACACCGGCATAATAAGTCCTAGTAGTACGATCTGTCTTAGTAGACATTTAAATAATAAAATCATAAATATAATTATTTGTTTATAATTTCAGAAATTTAAAGTTGGAAATGTTGACAAGTTTGCAGTAAATGATGTCACTTTAAATTTATATCCGGGCCAAATCACTGTATTATTAGGACATAATGGTGCTGGAAAAACAACTACAATGAGTATTCTTACAGGTATTTCAGACAAGTCATTATTTTATGCAAATTATAAAAGTTCTTATTTATTGAACATATTTATTTAATTCAAAATATTTTTTATATGAATTATAAAAATATTAATTAGGAGTAAATAACTACAAGTCCATTGGACTCATTTTTATAATTCCAGACTCATCACACACCTTTTCGATTTGTATTCATTAATGCATGATATCCTAGATGGCATTTTGGCTTTTTTAATAACAGCCCTCTTCAGCCAGGTTACATATACATTTGGACAATGATATTATAATTAAAATATATATAAAAGAATCTAATAAATGAGAATACAATATACAGATAGACCAACATTTATATCACTATATAAGCAATTATGTACCACATTAGAAAAATAATTACAAAAGACAATCATAAAAATTGATATTAAATTACCAAACACTGTAACCAAATTTAAAAGTTAATTCTACCTCACATACACTGTTGTCTGATATTTTGTTCTTTATGGTGTTTTCATTTTGGTTTATTCTTTGTCTTCTTTTTTAAGTCTAATATACCACAAAATCGAAACCATCATATTTTACATCAAGCTGTCTCTTGACCTTCCTTTTACATTGGTCAAATATATTTATGTGAGGACCCGGAAGGAAGTCAATGTAGAGGTCCGAATGGAGACTATCAATCGAGAAATTAAAATCTTTTACAACTCGAAAGGGAGAAATTAAAGATCTTGATTAAACAAAGAAGGTTTTTTTTTTGTAAATTATTTAAACAATAGAAAAGACTAAAGTTGAGGGAAACACGGCTGGAGAGGAATCGTATTTAGTTGCGAAACTGACCTCTCCCATGCCCTCCAATCGGTTTTGAACTGTCACCAAGTGACAAGTCGGGACCAATGAAAAGGCAGCTTTAAAGGAAAAACTTATAAAACTATGCGTTTAAAGGATAGGAAGTTCTTGGTTCATAGTGCTCCTGTTCTTGAACAACAAAGGCTTGTTCGACGTCCCAAGATTCATTTTTGTTATCCCGTCCCGTTGAGATTCACCCAGGTACACCTAGTCATCAGAAGTCATCTCTGCAAGTCATGCTGTGCGCTCCAGGGTCGTCGCTCTCCACATCACCTTCGCCGGAAGAAACGAAATGATCATCAGAACATTTGGACTTTTTGAACAGACTTGTTTCCCTCCTTTGGATAGGCATTATGCCTCATTATAAGAATAGTTGTAAGAAAATTTATATATCTATTAAATGGTTTTAAATGGTAAACCTGTCTCCGTGAGTCCACGCCCACATGACTGTTTTGACTGCTGGATTGTCGTGACACTTTCCACCTAATTGGCTAACCTCACATTTACTTTTTCTTTTTAAACTTTAAGTTGACTAAAATGGTTGGTAAGTTCACTCATAACATCAAACTATTTGTATTTTTAAACAATAAATTGTGTTTTAATACTACATAAATATTCAGTAACATGATTACAGTACAATTTTAATTAATTTATATGACAACAATACTACAGACAATTACACAAGAAAAAAAATTTAAATGTTTTCATTTTCAGGAATGTTTCCTCCCACTTCAGGAACAGTTATAGTCAATGGCTATAATATCTTAACTGAAACGACTAGTGCTCGAAAGTCTCTTGGACTTTGTCCTCAACATAATGTTCTTTATGATAATCTTACTGTAAAAGAACATTTAAAATTTTTTGGTGGTGTAAGTATTCCATAAAATATTAAAATATTTTAATTACTATTAAAGCATAATGCAAAATTTAAAAAATTTTAAATAATTTAAATTGGTAAAGTATTTTTTAAATTACAAAATACCTGTTGAAGAAGAATTTATTTCAGTTTTTATTCAATAGAATGCAAACCAATTGTGATTACATTAAATATTGATGCATTATTTTCATATAGATTCTTCAATAGAAACTAAATTAGTTTCATATAATTAAACTTATTTAATATTTGAGACAAATTTATATTTTTTTCAAGTTGTCAATAGAAATGTTCAGTATTTATTGCATGTAAAGTAAGTTATATATCTTTGTCCTCTGCGGTATTGAAATTGAAAACCTTTTCACTTGCCATGTTAGGTTCTTCTGAATCAACACTTATGCTGTTTTAATAACAAAATCAAAAATCAACTCTGACATAATTGTCTTCATTTGAGTTTCAAATCATTCCACTGCTTCCAAACTTTCCTTTGCTTACAAAGATACTTTCCACATGCTTACAAAGATATGTAAGCATGCTCTCTGTTGCTTACATATCTTGCTATTTTTCTCTGACAGAAATAGTTAGGTCAAACAATCCAAACAAAATAATCAGGCAGAGAAAAATAGCAAGATATGTAAGTAACAGAGAGCATGGTGGACAGTTTGAAAATTCTATTTTAGTTGCATTCCTGCATATCAGTTTTAGTTTTAGCTTAGTTTAGTAAACTAAGTTAATTGACATTGGATTTGATGTTCACATACAATCATACTCGGTGCCAATTAAAAAAACAGAAAATGCAATGTTACTTAAAGAGCACTGCATCCAAGTACAGTGGAACCTTGCTTAACGAGCATAATTTGTTCCTTGTAATGCAAAACGCTTGTTATGCGAAACAATTTTTTTCCATATAAATTAATGTAAAATATGATAATGCGTTCCATGCTGAAAAAGATACTCAAATATTTTACATATAATGTTTATTCAAAGAAAATTGTACAATATACATTGTTAAGGAGCATGAATCATCATCATTTCTTCTAGTGTGGAATGAACCACACTGGAATGCGAATTTGATTTGCAGGAAAAAAAAATTACAGATAATATGTCTGATAAACACACCAAACGATATACCAAATTCTTGGGTTATGCAAAGGCTATAATTAAATATTGGAAATTAATTAATTTGACTAGAGGTAGGCAGTTATGCTGCCATCTCATATTAAATTTAATAATTATAAATAATTAATTTATAATTTAGACATTTTTAAAATTTCTTCTTCAACAGTTTGTTTGACTTCCAGTTCTGCGAGGTATGATCTATTGATATCATTCCAGAAATGTGATGCATATTTGAATAGTCATGAGTTTTGTTATTTTAAAGTCTAGGTTATGCAGATTAGCTTGTTTCCATAATTCCAGCAGTGTATTGATGGTTTTAATGGTATTTGCACTATTCAATTTTGTCCTAAGTATTTTTCTCACTTCTTGAATATATTCTTTGCTAATCACATTATTGACTTGTACATGCCTGGTGTTATCCAGTTGTAAAAATTCCAGGTAATTATAGACCTCTTTATGTAAGCTCCTGGTGGTTTAGCCATTTTGAATCACAATTTCCTTATTGTTGATGATTTTATCTTGACTTATTGCTATTATAGCACATTTTTCAATGCCAAATTCCATTGCTATATCTGTACTGAAAATTTGTGCAGTGTTTGTAAATGACTGAATTTTGGTTTTATTTAAATATAAAAAGTAATTAAATAGTAAATAATTAAAAATTGTAAAACAGGCATTTTTTTAATTGTGTAAAATTGTAAAATTGTAAGTCTACCATTTTGATAAAGTTGCTTAAAATGACAAAGTAGACATAACTCCAACGTATCTTCTCTTTAGACTACTATCGAAATCTGAAGTTTTTAATTTTCTTTACGGCCACTTCTCTATGGTGGAACTGCCACCATACAAGCATAATCACATTTACATAAGAGTAAACTTATAAAATTTGAATAAAATTTCTTAAAATGTTTCTAACAATGTGCAAAATTATATTATTTTTAGTTCTACAATTATACAAATTTTTAAATGTTATTTTATATTAAAAAATATTATATTTCTGTTTGTTATTTTAGATAAAATCAGTCATTGATGAAACTAATGTTCACTATTTTTAATCATTAATTACATCAAATTAATTTAGATATATTTTGTTAATTTCAGCTTAAGAATCTACCTTGGTCAGAAATGGAAGAAGAAATAGCAAAAATATTAGCTCTTCTTCAACTTTCAGACAAGCAAAATGCTTTGTCGAAAGATCTGTCGGGAGGAATGAAACGTAAATTGTCATTAGGAATCGCAATCATCGGGGGTTCAAAAGTATGTTAACATTTTTGATGACAGCTACCTACTCATTTGATTTTTATATTATAAATTAACCATTAATAATCATAGAAGTTAAAATTTTAATGCTTTATATAAAAGAATACTTTCAGGAAAAAAACATTTTTTTTCTGAACGTATTTATTCATGTGATTTCTTATTTGTATCATAATACTCCTATTATATATAAATAAAATAAATTACTTAACTATTAATATTAATTTAAGTTTGTAAGGAACAGGAATAATGAATTTAATAATGAATGTAATAATTTTTTAGATTTTATTTAAGATGTATTTAATGTTCAAAATATAACAATATTTCAGTATTTATATCTCTACAATGAACAAATTTCTTTATAATAGTTTCAAATACTTTTTTAAATTTATATTAGCCATATATTATTATTACTATTTTTTAAATTTAGAAATTAGATAAATTCATTGAATGTGAGTTTTAGTTAAAAGAATTTGTGGTTGAGTGTTACACTCCAACCACAAATACTTTTAACTAAAATTCATGCTAAATGGTACAGAGTGATTAATTGTTAGGAGCATTGTTCCATTCTTTATTGCTATTATATAAGTTCACATTATATATCATCTGTGTAACTCAATCTATAGTGTAGTAATGACGACATTTATTTTATTATTTTAAGATTTTAATATTAGATGAACCAACTTCGGGGATGGATCCAGAAGCAAGACGCGTAATTTGGGATGCATTACTAGAATTGCGTGGAGATCGAACTGTACTTTTGACTACTCATTACATGGAAGAAGCTGATGCGCTCGGCGATCGTATAGCAATCATGGCAGAGGGATCTGTCAAATGTTGTGGATCTTCTATATTTTTGAAAGGAAAATTTGGTATTGTAGTTTTAAAATATAAGTTTACAGCTATGTATTTTACAATATAAATTGGCAAATTAACTGTGATTATATTTTCAAAAGGTACTGGTTATCATCTTCATATTGCAAAAGGTGATGGCTGTAAGGTTGATGAAATAACACGGAGAATTAACAGACTTATACCAGAAGCTAAAATAGTTAGCAATATAAATCAACAACTGGTATATTCACTTTCTTCAGTATCACAGTCTTTTGGTACGCTATTTGAATCTATGGAAAATTCATATTCTGAATTAGGAATTACATCATGTGGGATTACTGTAACGACTATGGAAGATGTATTTCTAAAGTAATTTAATTTTTTAAAAATAATTTTAAGATATTTATTTCTCTTAGAATAAATGAATTTGATAGAAATTAAATATTATTCTGTTTGTACATTACCTTCTCAATATATTACAGAACGTATCATTTTGCTAAATAAAATGTTATATGGCTCATGCAAGTGAACATGTGCACTGAGAATATCAGGCCAGATCTTACAAATATAAATAGAGATCATAAACATTAAACACATTTAACATTAGAGACTTCATTAGAGAGATAATTACAGAAATCCATGCTATTGAAACATTAAGAATATTAGCTGATTTATATATTAATGTAGAACATCAATGTTACATAATAATTAGCTATCCAGGGAGCACACAGAACTTGTTTCAGAGAAAAGCAGTATAGAGTCTTCTAAAAAGAATTTTATCATTTTAAATTATTGTAATTATGTTAATTATTATCTGAGAACATTGTAATGTATATTAAAAAATTGTCCAAGTTTCACATTTTTCTATTACAATCTCTCAATATGTGCACCTTGTGTCATGGCACACATCCAATTGATATTCAAATTCTTCCTATGGTTGCTACAGCATATCTGTTGTCACTCTTCCCAAAGCAGCCACAATTCTACAGCTCCTATAGATTACTTGTGTTACACAATGATGAGTGATTCTAATTTTGTGAACTGCAGAACAGATCACAAAATGCCTTTTCTATGGTAAGTCGCCATTTTTATTTATGTCAATTCCTAAAGATAGTGTACAACAAGAAATTTGAATGCAGATAGGAGATGAAACTTGCAAAATTACTCTATCAATTGGTGTAGGTTGCATACTTCTTGGATAATAATTAATATAATTACAGCAATGTAAAATGGTAGCATTCTTTCATATATAAGGATAAATGGTCTTAACTAACCAGTTGATTCACCAAAATCAGGATTCACTTAATCAGATAATTTATTTAAATTTATTTTTACTATCTTCATGAGAGAGTGTGAATAATAAATACATGTAAAAACAAGCAATAATTGTAAAATGCGGAATCTTTTAAACAGCATAAAACCTGCATACATGGCTTTATGGAAAACCAGAAGAGTCATCTCATTGCATACATATTGTAGTTACTTTAGTGAACAATTATTAGAATAAATTTACTTTTTACAAAATGTCTTTACTTTATAAAATAGGTTATTCAAAAACAGGAAAGAAGTAAAGCAAAAGAATAACCCTCCTGCCCCCCCACAGATCCCTTGTTAGTTACAGCATGGAAAAACAACAAACACAAAAGACTACTGTAAATATAAGATACTCAATGATCAAATTATTGATGTTTAAATCATACAGAAGTAGGCAATTTATATTATCATAATAATGAACATCTTCAACCATGAATCTTTTAAACATGTTTAATGAAATTGATGATGTATCTTATTGAGAAACTGAATATAATTGATTAGAATTTAATGCTATGACAATTTTTTAAAAATATTTTAACAAAACATATATTTTAATGAGCAGTTATTTATTGTAACATCGTCACAATGCCTGGCTGCAATTCTTCCTCTCACTGCTCTCAATTTTAGTAATGTCTTGCCCCTGTACATCATACTTCTGCTGTTAACATGGAGTGATGCCAATCATCTATCTAACTCTATTCAGAAGAAAATTTTTTAATTGAAATAACATGATTTCTGGTTCAAACTGGAATCATGTATTTAAATTCTTATATAGTAAATTGGAGCATCCTGCTCCTAGGCTTTCTATATCCAGTCTCAACTTTTATCTATCTAACTCTGTTCTCAAGATTATTAAGGAAGGATGGACCGAGTCAAATGGATGCCGTGGGAATTTATAGGTCTACAATTTTTGAAAATTGCAGCCCTAAAACATATCTAAACGTGACAAACTAATAAATGAATTTATGTAACAAACTAATTCTCTAACTATCCTTAGTTGTAAACAATTGCAATTGAAACTTTTATCTTTTCTACTGATATACTTCCATTGGAATTGCCAATCTATCATTTGTATTTGGATTGTTATACACTCATTGAAATAAAAATTAGTGCACTAAGAAGTTGTTGGAATCAAACAAAATTGTATGTGTGAGTGTAACAGTAGTATAAGTAAGTGATTACAAAATGAAAGCAAAAGGATCATTTATTGCAGACAAACTACAAATAAAAGGAGGTTCTAGTACCCTGTTGGGCCACCTCTAGTGTGAACACATGATGTGATACAGGTGGGCATGGAGGTGTACAGATGCTGTATAGTGTCCTGTGGTATCTCAGTCCATATTTGTTGCAAGCGGTCCTAGGAAGAGTTTGGCCAAATTCCTAGGCTGTCTAACTTGGCATCTCAGGTGATCCCAGACATGTTCGATTGGTGACAAATCAGGGGACTGGACAGGCCAGGGAAGTGTGGCAATGTGATGGAGGCAGTCCTGTGACACCCTTGCTGTGTGTGGTCGAGCATTCTCCTGTTGGAAAATGGGTCTTGGGAGCCCTGCCATGAGAGGCAACATGTGTGGCTGCAGGATGTCACTAACATACTACTGGGCTGTCATGGTCCCTTGGATCACTATTAGAGTTGTGTGATGGCATCGCAGACCATCACACCAGCTGTGCGGGCAGTGTGCTTCTCCAAAGCATAGACATGATTGAGGTGTTCACCATGAGGCCTCCAGACATGAACACAGCCATCATCAGTGCCCAAACCGAATCTGGATTTATTGCTGTAGATGACCCAGTTCCATTCTATTGTGGCCCAATCTTGTTGGAGCTCAACAGAATGGAACTGCAAAAATGGAACCACTCCAATGGAGTGGTTCCATTCTGAATACCAAATGTTCATCACCCAGGTGCCTTGAAATGGTATGGACAGACACGGTCCTGTATTGTTGGTAGACAATAATATGGTCGGCTGTGTGCATGATTGTTGGAGGACCAAGCAGTCTTCTTAGCTAGTGATCTGCCAAGGATGTCCTGAGTCTGGCACCATGTGTCCAAGTTCTCTCTCTCCTCCACTGGTCCCAACACCACCTCAGTGTTGTTAGAACAATCTGGGTCAGGAGCAGCCAACAGTTTTTGTCCCCGGGCCAAATTGAAAAGAGAACTTTTTCACGGGCTGAACCAGAGCCTGCCCTAGGAAGATTTTGAGGTGGTGAGAGATCTCATTGTGGTGTCACTCCGTAGAGACTAAATTGTACATAGAGATTACAGATACATTTTTCACATTATCATGCTTTATCAACATTCTACACTACTTAAGAGATTTGTAATAGAGGGTTAACTCTAACTGGACAGAGAGTTTTTTTTTTTTTAGCGTCAGAATTTTTCACCAATCTATTCTGACTTGAGTAGCTAATATTGAAAGATTAATCGCGGGCCACATAAATCCATTAAACGGGCCAATTCCAGCCCACGGGCTGTATGTTGGCCATGCCTGACCTAGGTGGCAATCTGTTTGGCAAGATGACCATCTGGCTTCTCTCAACCCAATGATCCTTCTCCTCTCAACTCAAACTCAATTAGTTGTTCATATGGTCTTCGTTTGCAATGTAAAGTCATCTCTAGTGATACAACGTTCCTCTGTAACAGCTAACTTATAGACAAGATCTGTGTGTGCTTTTTTTCATAGACCAAGGAGGATGCACTTTAATGCCCTCTGCTGGCATTACGCAACAAGCCATCATGCTATACCTAATCATTTCCATATCCGCTTGAGTCTTATCTACATGCTAGGTTTTGCAGCAATACAACAACTCCTTCTTGGTGCACTAATTTTTATAGCAATGGGTGTAATTGCCACTCATTGACTGAAACACTAATCACTATTAAATTTCTGGCTTTATTTGTTGAGACTACATGAGGACAACTTACAATGAAAAGTTTACAATTTTCAACTTGCAGAGATATCCAAAAGAAAAGACTATACTTGACTTATTTCTTTTAAAAAATTTCTGGATGGCTTTTTCATGTGTTTGATGCTCAGTTCACTGATTTGGTTCAGAGTTGTTCAGCAGATATTATACAGACTTATATTATTATAAAATTGCAGCAGGAAAGGTTAACGTTTAGTACCTTGTTAAACTGTGATTTGTCTTTATCCTGGTCTCCATCATCATGACTCTTACATGAAGCGAATTATCATGCTAAATCATTAATTTTACAACTAAAATATAACAAATACCATTTATTTCTTTGTAAATATATTAATTTAAATATTACTAAACTATGTACCTTTTGTGGTATTATTCCTAATTGTGTTAAAATGGTAAAATGTTTTTTGTATCTTATAGAGTTCTGGTGCCTTTCTGTCAGCAGATATTTGGCACTTATGGAAGTATTGTAAACTATTTAGAGTCTCCAGACATTAGTTATTATTATTATTATTATTTGATATTAAATACAAGTGGAAATTAAATTTTGAATTTATATCTATATATTTAAAGTTTAAATTTTAAAATAACTTAGTTCTGAGTGTTAAAGTGCAAATATAAATTTAAAATAACCAAATATAAATATCTTATTAGAAGGAGACTTCAATCTTATAATATAATCGAGATGGATTGATAATAATAATAATAAGTGCAGAGCCCGAATGGTTAGGAGTTGAAAGTTGAAATTTGGTACACAGTTGGGGTACATCATGAGAATGCACAATAAGAAGGGATTTTTTGAAATTCTCTCCTGCAGGTAGAGGGAGAGGGTTAATGATTACCTTGAAGAACTTGGCTTCTACTGTACTATTTTAGATGCAGTTTTTTGTGTCTTTGAGAGAATTCAAAGATATTTTTAGACTCATCTAAAAATTTTCTAATTCGACTCAAAAGAGGGGGGACCTAATTCTTGCACTGGTGAAAACGGGTAAAATTAGCTATAATATAATAATGTTAATTTTTGCTATCGTTACTTTTTGCCAAAGCAACCCTGGACTCATCTGCTAGTTTCTAAAGTTTGTTTCTTTTGTTTGTTTAGATCAAGTCTCCAAACTTTTTTGACTGCCAAGT